CAAGAACTGAGGATTCCAGGGAAAATCCATGGGTGTACAGTTTGTGGTATTACTGAGTTTTTCTGGTGCCAATTTTAAAGCACTGCTATGACCTCTGGAAAGAAGGAAAACTGCATTTCAGCACAACAATGTAGAAAAGAACAAAAAAAAAGGGTACTTGTTATTTTTTTTAGCTTGAAACACTAGTCAGGTTAAGAGAAAGAGGCAGAATTCTGGCAAGGACAAGAGCACTCAGACTGAGCCACAACACAGTAATTAGGGCCAGTAGGTCATTAGAGCCACAGCTGTATAAACTAGGTGTATAATTAAGTTTCCACACTGCTTTTTCACAACTGTATTTCAATTTCTTTTGTAGAGGATGATCAGTAATTCATTCATTTAAAGGAGCAACAGCAGCAGCAGCAAAAAGAGAAAATCTCTGACTTGCCAATCAAGCGCAGCAAAAGATTACAATTTTGGGGAGGGCAAATTTTGGAAACACATGACAGAAGTCTCTCTTTGTCAGTGGGAAGGCACAAAGTACCACCTGACAAAAACATTCATGAGACATCAGTTACTGACAAGCTGCCGTGTATGCTTTTCTGGATAAGCATCCTGCACATACAGTTGCATGGAAATTATAATTCTTGTAGCAGTTGAAATACAAGAAAATGCAAAATTATACACTAGCATGAAACAGTTATAATACCTCATTTCACATGTAAGCCTAGTGTACAAGTTACAGGGCATTTAAAAGGAGCAACTGCAAGACTTTAATTATAAACTAGTTCCTACCGTACAGTAGTTTAGAAAAATCAGCTGCTTCCAAGCTGGCAATATCCATATATAGCTCTGCTGCTGTTTGAAACAGACAACCTGTAAAGTTATCAACAACAGAAGAGGACCTCATGAAATGCTCAGAGACCCCATCATAACCTACTTCTGTCCACTTCATTGATGCACTAATTTGCTTTACAACACTCTACATGCAGTTCAGAGACTGAAGAAAAAGGTTTACATGAATTTATTGTGACCCAAGGGAGAAAAGGGGCGATATTGGGTGGAGGAATCAAAAATAAAATACTGGAGCTAAACCCAGACTAGAGCAGGTGGATTAATACACACAAGCAAAATACCAGATCTCGTGGCTTTTTAGCCACTTTTCATCATATAAAAACAACTTGGCATCAGCCAAGATAATGATATATTGCAGAATAGTTGCTTGATGTATGTAGCCTCTGGTGCTGGCTGGGGGACACAGTAATTTGTAAATCCACGTGCAATTCTTTACTGTTGTCAGTAAAGCCTTAAGATAGCATTGTGCTGTGACACCTACACTGTAAAACAAGCAAAATACCAGATCTCGTGGCTTTTTAGCCACTTTTCATCATATAAAAACAACTTGGCATCAGCCAACAGATAATGATATATTGCAGAATAGTTGCTTGATGTATGTAGCCTCTGGTGCTGGCTGGGGGACACAGTAATTTGTAAATCCACGTGCAATTCTTTACTGTTGTCAGTAAAGCCTTAAGATAGCATTGTGCTGTGACACCTACACTGTAACAGCAGTGTGCAAAAAAAAAGTATATGAGACTGCATATGATGCCAATAGCAATTAGTCTTCTCTAGTTATGGGGATAACTAGAGTTATCAATTAATTTTAGTGGGTTTCCAATTAATTTTAAAAGTTTAACACATCCAGCGCATACACTAGGTGGGTTTGTTTATTCTTGGAGTATTTTTCAAAAGGCTTGCTTGTTGTTTAAGGCACTATTTCCACGACAGCTGCAGGAGAGACCATTTGTGGGGACAAGCTGGGAGGCAAGGGAAGACACGAGCCAGTGAGGAAATGTGATGTTCTTTCAGTACAACCTGCCCCCATTTAGACCCTTTTCAGATCCCCATAGACACTGGAAACCTACAACCTGCAATCACAGACATCAGTCATGAGCAAAAGGTATAAAAAGCACCTAATTCTGTCAGAAGGAGAACATCTCTACTACGCTGACATCAAAGGGAACACCACGCACTTATGCTACCAGAGATGTCTAGATTTCAGCAGTGTTTTGTCCTCAAAGAAACAAGTCTGAAATACATGAAAAGGCAAGGGGGGAAATGGCTGTTTGTTCCCTCCTTACATGTCAAAGCAGCTGCGTTCAAACTGTATTATAACTTCAGCGCACCATAATGAATTTCTGAGGGATTCCAGTGAAATAGATGGTTTATCCTATTCTTTGGAGTGATCTCTTGTAATCCTGCAACACTCCTCAGCTACAATACCTTCCTAAGTTCAGTATCCCAAAGGAAGTCATTAGTTACGTTGTATTATCAGCCTGGTGATATTATCGCTACAAATATTACCTGTATTGATCTGGAGCCATGTAGACAGAACTGAAAACCCTGCTTCAGATTAAGACATGAAAACCTAGCTTGCCAAGAGGTCAGGCACTGCACTGCACCCTCAGATGCATCAGGCAGGCATTGGAGGCAAAAGGAGTTAAAGAGCTTCTTTTGTGGGGTATTATCTTTGAAAACACCACACTTCCTGATGCAGCCTTAAGATTTTCACTCTGGTGGTGCAAGTCTTTTCAGACGAATTAATGAGGATGTGCATTTTGCATGCTTTGAACAAAAATTTTTATGGCTATTGAACAAACTGGGAGGTCAGAAAGGGTTTTTTCCTCAAGGTAAGGTATGTAAGTAACAAGCAATATTCCACAGACTGTCTTCATGGAAACCTTCTCATTTCAAAATATATGAGTGCAATCTTACTATTTACTTTAAATCTTTTCAGGACACTAGATTAAACTACATCAAAACCAGGCATTTTGTTCTGGAAGAAGGATATCCTCACATGGAGATAATTAACACCTGTACCATGTACGTGCAGATGGTTATATGGTGCCTTTTCATGACAAAATGTCATTGTGAAACATCAGCACATGTGAAGACAATAAAAGATGATGAAATTACACTACCTGCAATCAAAAATTATCAATGGGAATACTAACAAATTATTTTGATAGGTCCCAAAAAATATAATTTACTTTTCTTACTCTCACTATGTTAAATAAAAAGCAAGGTGTGAAAACACTGGCTGTATTGATATCAGTAGAATCTCCAGATTGACACATTTTAACGTATATGTGCCTCCGGAAAAACAACAGTGATGTTGGTCAACATCATAACCTACATTCCTCCTCAGGAGCCCCCGCCAGCAGCACCCACTCCACTGCCCTCTGCCCTGCTCCAGTCCCCCAGCTGTGCCATCACAGCTGTTCCTGGGGATCATGCCATGAACCAGACATGAGCAGGCACCTGATGTAAAAAAACAGCCTTTCTTTTGGTGAGGCTCACCCCTGGCACCACAAGCAGCTGTACCAGCACAACGTGGGAGACTGGGCAGTGAGGGAGCAGCACCACCCAGGTCCAGCCACTGGAGACACACTGTACAGCTGCTCAGCTGCCCACCCAGCCAGGCAGGATCCTGCCTGTCCTGCTCTCCATGGGGAATGGTGTCAGGAACAACCGGTCCCTGCAACTGCTCCTTTGGGAAAGACCAGTGCCCACCTGGGCTGTGCACCTTGCCTTCCATTTTGGAAAACAAAGATTTTTATACTTCAATTGCCTTTCTTGCTTACTACCCTGCAGTAAAAATGTCATTTACGGAAGTCTCAGGCCAATGCCATAGTTGTTGGCGGGCCAAGAAATGACTGTGAGAAACAGCCTTCCAATTGTATGCACTTTCCAGCTTGCAGCCTACTCACTGTTTAAACTAGAGCTCAGAGCAAGGAGCTCTGGGGGCAGGTGTAGGAATGCAATCCCTATCCACCTGCAGGCTGGGGAAAAGCCCCAGTGTCCCTCTGTCCTTCCTCCCAGCAAGCAGATAGGAACAAGGGCAGGGGAACCTCATCCCTGCAGACAGGGTGAGACACAGGAGGATGTGTTCAGGGTGGGACTTGGACTGAGCCAAAGCCCCTGCCTGACCCTCCCTCCTTGACTGTTTCCTGTGCTTTTAATTCAGTGAGCATCATTTTACTTGTGTCCAAAAAGAGCAGAAAACATGGGCTAATTATCAAACAAATTAAGTGGCCAGGGAAGAATACACACTGAGGGGAAAGAGGATTCAATACTGCTGCACCAGAGGAGAAAGTAACCCTTCTGCCCTCTGCCAGCCTTGACCTGTTTGCCATATAGCAACTGCCTAAAAATAATTTAGATGAGTGAGGAGGAAAAAGTGATAGCACAGTATTCAATTCCAGGAAGGTGAAGGATGAGGACCTTTGATTTAAATACATATTAATGGATACTGTTCTCTCTCTCCTAAGATTTTATTTAATCTTTGGTAAAATCTGCAAAGCTTTTACTGCTCCCATAAGTGGACTTAGGGTGCTCAGCAGAATCCCTGCTGCTACTGCTGGTCAGGCAAAGGCAGCCATGTAAAAGCAAGATACGTTGCAATTGTTCACATCAATGCTCTGAGTTTGTTCTTACTTTACAGCAAGTAAAATCAAAACCAACACAGGCTAATGCTGTCCTTGCTTCCATAAAACTCAAAAGGTGATGCAATAATAACCTAGGGAAAATGGTGCATTTTTAGGGTGGGATTACAAAACTTGCACTATGAATTTTCATCTCCCAAATCATCATGTTGTCTTATGGGGTTCAGAGGCCCTTCTTCCTGGCAGTTTTGCCCACTCCAGTCATTTAACTTTTTTAATCTTCCTACATTTGGAGACAGAGGGAAAAATACTCTGCCTGAAACTTAGCATTTTAAAAAACCCACAACATTTTTTTATCTAACGTAATTACTGACAGACTCCAATTGGAAAGCTGTTGCTTTTATTTTAATTTTATTAAAGGAGTGAACAAAGGCTACCCAAGGCACCACAATAAAATTACATTAACTGTAAAATTACATTATTAATTCTTTAATCTCACTTGAGGCCTCAAGCTGTTGCTATGTCCAATTACCCAGCTAACCACCTGTCAGAACTGTAAAGCTAGTTTAACATTACCTCCAGGACAGTTGTGTGCCCTGTGTTCAGTCAGGTCTGCCAGTGAATCGAAGTCCTGCTGACAGTTATCGCAGGTGTAAATTGACTCATCCTCCATGTCTTCATCTTCCTCATTTCTCTCTTCCTGGCTCGTCACACTGTTCCTCTCTTCCAGGGCCTGGCTGTCCTTCGCTTCACTCTCCAGCTCTCCTCCCAGGCCACCTGCCAACAGCAAGAACATCCTCTAAGTTTGAGAGGTCTGAAAAATAAGAGCTTTAAGAAGGATGTTGCACTTATTAAGATACATTTAATTACAGCAGCTCTCACATTATTCCCGACACCTTTTATTATATTAATGTGGTTTTTATATCATGCAGTGCAACAATTCTCAACTGTATTCTCTGCTGCTTAGTGCGAATCCTGCAAACACTCTCTCCTAATCTTCTCTGGTGGGTGTATAGCAAGAGCCTCTAACTCTCTGTCATATAAAGTTGTTAGTGTTTTATCACTTAACCAGATTCTCAAAGCTTTAAAAATTGGCAAGATTAATTACAGCCCGCAAAGAAAAGGCATGTGCTGAATTTTAATTCTCAGTGCTCTCCTCTCCCCACCACCTCCAAGTCCTAACATTAGTAACAAGAAAAAAAAAATTATCTAGCTGAAGACCCCCAAAGCACACATATACCCCAGGATGTGAGAGGTCCCCCAGTGAATAATAAGAGGCACTCTGCTGGGCAGATGAGCCTTGCATTGTGCTGACAGCTTTGCTCCTGACCTTCAGGTCTCTGATATTTTTTCTCCTCTTCCGTCACCAAATTGTGGGCTAACACAAGCATCTTCGCCAAAAAACCCACAAGTTCCCATGTGCATTACTGTACAAGGAGACTGAGCTCTCTGGTGGCTCCAGAGGCAGCCTGGTGCAGGGGGCAGGTCCCCACACAGGGCAACTGGCTCTCGGCTGGCAGTGGGGTGGAAGGCACAGGCAGCCAGCCACAGCCAGAACCCCCAGCACACAGTCAGTGGCCTGGCATGAGGGATGGGCTTGCAGCCAAACCTTCGTGACTCCAGGACACCCTCTTGACCACCATGTCCACCCAGACATACTTGAAGCCAGTCATGCTCAATGGCTCCATGCAGCACTGCAGCTGTCTCTCACTTGGACTCCTCAGAGAGACAGCAGAGGTGAAAAATATCTCCTAAGTCCCTGTTGCCACCTCAGCCAGGAAACCATCTGTTAGATATGCTGGCCACACTGACCAGGCCTTTGGTGACAAGCTGAGACAGATGCTTGGGCCTCTTCCACATGCATGTCCCACCAACCCAGAAGCTAGAGCCTCAGGCACTGCACCTGCACCGCTAACCCGCCCCCGGATCACTCTCACACTCCAAATACACCCTGTTGGTAAGATGGGAACATCTGAGAAACCATCCAGCAAAGTGGAATGGAACTGCAGGCCCTTGCAGCAGATGAGATCCTCCCACACTCCTGACCAGTGCTGGCTGACCCTGAAAGCTCAGGAGCTACTCAAGACAGCCAGGAGGGAGATGTCACCTCATTGGTTCAGGATGCATTTGAGTTTTAAAACCATTAAGGAAACACCAGTGAGCAGAGAGATGAATTATTTCTAAAATTAGATCAGGGCCAAACAGATGAAGGACAACCAATGCTGAGAACATGAAACAGAGTCAAAAAATAAAATTTATTAAAGATGAAAACTGGTTACCACAAGCACTGCAATTCAGACACACACATTAGTAGGGCTCTGCTACCACTATCCAGCCACAGCACACTTCATACCATCTTCTGCACTGCACGTGATAACATAAATCAACTAGTGTAAAATGCTTTGCAGTTTTCCATGGAGCACTCATAACATGATGTACCCTTCAAATTGCAATGGAAATATTAAAAATCAATCCCTTCTTGTGGTGTATCACAGCATCCCTCTTAGCAATTAACTGCCCATTTTCAGTTTTTTTCTTCCTGTTAAATTATACATATCTTTCTACTAAAAAATTTCCATTAAGAGCTAGATTTAATGTTCATCTTAACAAATCAGATATGCTGCTCACCCAGCAGTAATGAATTTAGGGATTTAGGTATAAAAAGTATCACTCACCAAGCTCTCCATATTTCAAGTCATCATCTGTACTATGTTTATTCAATAAAATGCTGTTTGCTGAACTGCATGTTTTATAGACTTCTTCCTTAAATAAAAATCTATTGCAAGGAAAAAACACAATTCTGGTTCTCTTTATATACCACTACTACACCAAATAAGTAACATTTGAAGCTGTGTGAGCTTTGTTTTATTTCACACATCATTTAATGCACATATTCAAATCATCACTTCCATTTTGTCATATTTACTTGGCCCACCTTGGCCTCTCATCCCACACTGCAATCACCACCATTTCAGTTCATTCAGTCTTTTTAAAGCCTCTATGTCCTACAGACTTGATAGCTAATAAATCAGAATGTCAACTCTCTGGTTTTATAAGACAGAAACCTATAAAAGTAGTCCAAGCATATGAATCTAACCTAAAGAATTGCCACCTGCTTCTATGACGCCTGTTGATGGAGACCTCAGAGAAGCCCTTCTGAGCTGACTTTGCTACAACCTGATGAAGAGTTTTTAGGCAACTCTGAGGAGGTTTAAGGGACCTTCTTTAATATTTTTAGCCAAAAAATTGTCTTTTCATAGTTAACCTTAAGACCAGCTGATCTGGTGAGTACACTGTGACAAATTCATCCTTGGTTTTACTCCAACACTTCGTGACTACACCAGGGATAAAGCTATTTGACCGAGTCCAACAATAACAAATAATTTAGCACACTGCTTTAGGAAAAATAAATTGTACAACGTGAGATAAGAAAATAGATTCCTGACTGCAAAGCAAAATTCCAGAAACATTTTTTAATTCCCTGTTGAATGGGAAATCTGATCCTCTAGGCAACTTTTCAAAAGTGTCGTTGCTTGACACAGTTATATGTCAACAGTGAATCTTGCACGAATTATTTAGCAAATGCAACATTACTTTAAACTGAGATTTATTTTTTTTTTCTGTTTTCAGCAAGTTGAAGGAATTTGACATGTCTGCCATGCCTCAGTGTTACTGTCCTTTGAATAACATGGTCTTCAGATTCCTCTGCCAAGCCGCACACTTGGTGCTTGCCTTGTGGAAACCAAACACCAATGAGAAAAATCTGAGATGTCTCCTGGTTTTTTGGCCTTTGTCTCTATTATTTTGACCACGAGCTGCAAGCAGGGTGTGCGAGGTGCAGGCAGCCCCAGGGAGGCACCAGCTCCTCACCCAGGGAAGCAAAAAGGCCAGCGAGCGCCAGGGCTGTGATGGGAATGGGTGGTCCATCCAACAAGGAAAAGCTGCAAAAGCAGCCCAGCTGTTCCTGTGGTGAGCTCAGTTTTCCTGACAAGGACAGCAGGCCACAAGCATTCCTCAGGAATTAATTTCTGAGGAGTTTTGCTGTAGTAATTCACAGTTTTAACCTGTAATTTTCCTGCTGGCAAGAACTGCAGGAACACCCCGCCCCAGCACAGCCAGGCAGGACAGGAGCACGGAGGCACAAGCACACTGAAGAAGGGGTTTGGGCCACCATGGGAGGCCAAGGCACTGCTGGCACTGGGAGCAAGAGCTGGTACAAATTTGGAGCCGAGCCTGTCCCTGAGGGGATGTGTCCATACACTACCATACAGAAGGGCTTCTTGGGGATCAGAGCCAATGACACCTTCAGAAGCCTCTGAAGGTCAGTAGCTACCTTGTAGCATCAAGCACAGATCTATGTATTAACTGACACAGCTGTACTTTAAGATGGCCTTGGAGATCAGTGAAGTTAATTCAACAGTAAGCACCCTCTAATTAGATTGCTAAAAAAATAAAAAAACAGACCTGTAAGGAATTTGTCCAGGGAGCACCTCTGCAAAGGTGGCACAGCACCCTGGGTGCACAGCTCCCAGCTGGCAGCTGGACATTTGTGCATAGCACAAGGTTATGGCCAGACATCAGCAGAAGGCAGCTGCCACACCACATCTTAGGATAAATGGTCACTAATTAATTCCAAAGGTAAGGAAAAAAGTCCCTGCATTTACTAAAAAAGTTATTAGTAATTTTTTTAATAAACCTGGCATCCCTAATAATGACTTCAACAATTTTCTTATCTGAGTAAGAGGATACAATTTGAGAGATCAGCCTTGAAAATACACCTTGCTCTACCTGAAATGTCAGGAAGCAGGACTGGAACCTGTTCTTCTTTTCTCCTTTTTTTCCCCTCTCTTTTTTTTTTCTTTTTCCCCTGTAGCACAGTGGAAGGCCTGCAGGGCTTTACACAAGAAGAATATTTTACCCTATGACCTAAACAATCTGGCCAACAGTCAAGAATATGTTATTCTAATTGTCACTGAAGTTAATGTTGTTAATGACTCTTGGTTTTTCTGTAAAAGCCAGCTTACACTCTAGAAAGTTACTATTTCAAAGGGGATATATGAAGAACTGGGAGTATTCCTTCCTGACCTGGTGGTCCAAGGAATGTGGCAAACTTGGCAAAGCTGGAAAAGTGAATCCCCAAAGGTCCAGCTTGAAAGTTGCAGTCAGTAGAAATGCCTTCTGAGCTGTGTTCAAAACAGCTCTGTTACAGGAATAACGTGCTCCTAAAGCCAAATATTTGAAAACAGATTACACGTACCATGTTCAACTCAGACAAGAGCAAATTTCCACTTGCTTCAGTCAGACAGGGATTTACAGCATCGCCAGCAGGCTGGGGCTGTGCAGGGAACTGAGTGGCAGAGCCTCAGCCTGCACTGTGGTGCCAGCCCAGCTAGGATGGCAGCAGCCTTGGGGACTGCAGCTGGCATCCAGGACTGGAAACACAGGAAAGCCAGAGCCACACTGGAAGTGATGCTGATGCCTACCTACAATTTCCACCAAGGGACCTGGTGCAACACAGGGGCCAGAAAAACTTAAAAAAGGAAAAATTATCTTCTTTTTTTCAGCTGTGGAATAAAATACGGACATTTAAAACTTTTTATTTTACCAGCACAATAGAGGGCAAGCAAGCCTTTATCTTTGTGCTGGGAATTTTCTGCGGCTTTTCTTTAATTTTTTATTTAAGCCTGAGGAGTTTTTAAAGCTGGGATTTATTTTAAATCTAGGAGTGTTCTTTGGAACATTATTTAGTGCAGAGCCATGTCTGGCTTTAAATACCT